ATTTAATTTTTTTTTTTAATTTTTTTTGTCGTTTCCATTATTGAAACCAATTGGGTTGTCCCCCTTGTCCTCACCAATCATTTTCATTAACTTAATTCTCTTTTATTTTAACTATTCTCGAATCCATTTAACTTCTCTCCTCGTGTTCTTCTCCTCTTTGGTCGTTGGTTACAAGTCTTTAGACTAGTTTACACGAACTGCTCGATATTCTAATATTTGGTGGTTGGAAAGTTCATAATATTTTACATCTAAAGATTCGAACTTCTGTCTCGGGATGTCTGTGAAACAAAATCGAGATGAAAAAACCTTCCCCATCTCTATCCCTGCCTCCTATTTTAATTGAAATACGGGTCGAGTATTCCCGATGAAAAATTTTGCCTTAACTTTAGTATCGAGTATTAAGTAGCTAAGTTGACTTGGGAACAACCCTTTCTTCTTTACAACTGTAAAAGATTATCTGAAAGGTAAGGAAGGAGGCGAAGGGATGAAAGCTCGACAAAAGGCCTGTGATATGATATAGTAAGAAATGATGTATGAAAGTCATTACGTTAAGGCTACAACATTTAATTATAATATAGTATTTTATACGCGCGTATGTATATGTGTGTGTATATATATATATAAAGAGTGAGCGGAGTTAGGGATGGGAAATATGACAGCCATCTTCGGTCTTATTTAATTAACGGGAGAAAAATCTCTTCTAACTCCGACTTTATTTCCTCATTTAAATGGAGATTCTTCATAGTGCATCTCTATGCTCGACCCGGTGGATTAAATGTGTGACAAATGAGTAAGTGAATAATTTACTTATTTAATTTTTTTTTATTAATATAAAATTTTAAAATTGGTTCCTACTTTTATCAACCACTTTTATTAATATGGTAGCTGTGCAAATATGCTGTCATCTACCTAGGTGACAAGTATTTATTAATAAAATTGATAAAAATCTTCATTGTTGAATTAATTTAAAAGAACGATAGAATGTTCGTTAGGAGATATTGTTCTTTTTGAGCATTTCCTCAAGGCTTTAAAACGCGTGTGGTAGGGAAAGGTCTTCACACCCTGTAAAGGAGTGTTATCATATACTTTATACTTTTCTTATGGTAGCACGGTGCCATACTTCCGATAGAACAAATTTTCGAGACCGTGCATGTAGAAAAACAAACGATAATAAATAGGACACCAACCCGACCCAATAATGTTTTTTTCAATTTTTTTTACAAGTTGGAGCACATGGGAAAGGGGAAATGGACAATGAATGGACCCCAAAGGATTTTAATTTTGAGTCAATTTCTCAATTTAAAACTCTTTGAGTTACATCGTGGGTATGTTCACATTATGTCTGCAGGTCTAATACCACATTTGATTTTCTCAAATTAAACTAAATTTACGTTAAATACTTCTCGATTTTGTCGTTTATTTTAAAAAAAATTGTAATATTATCGTTTTTATTTCATAAATATTTCAAAATTACTTTTGGAGTAGAAATTGAGACATGAAATGCGTGTAAAGACGACGTGGCAATGTTCGAATTTCAATTTTCATCTTGTACATATTTAAATTATTATTTTCAAATATAATTTATATTAAAAAATGTAATTTTTTAAAATATATATATAAAAAAAAATTTAGTCTCTATTTAACGGTAATTTTTCTTCTAATTCGAGGTGGGTCCTAGCATAATTCCGATTTTATGAATTAAAGAGTTGTTTTTATTCAAATTTGGGACTCGACCCGACTAGTTAAATAGATATCTCTATTCAAATCTCCCGACCATTTATTTATATATAATTTAGTATTTAATTATTACCTAATTTCAACAAAAAATGGATTAAGTTGCATGGATTTTTTAAAATAAAATAAAATAAAATTAGAAAACACACAGCTCATATGAATCCTTATAACCAATAAAGTTAAATAATTATTATATTAAATGGTTGGGGATTGATTAAAATATAAAAATTTGATTCAGCATGTGATGAGGCATTCATGGATGTCGGCATGCATGTGGGGGCCGTATCATGTCATTGTCACACGTACTTAATATAAAAAATAAATTAATTAATTAAATTAATAATTAATTAGTAATGGGCCCCTCTGCCCCTCTGCCCTCTGCCCTCTGCCCCTCTGCCCTCTAATATTAATTTCCGTTCTCCTACTTCCATTATTTTTACTTTTTAGTTCACTTTTGTGTTTGGGGCACCCCTTCGCAATTAGGGCATAGGGCCCACAAAAAACCCACCCACACGCCCTTAAAATCAATTTTAAATTAAATTTTTTAATTTTTAAAATATATAAATATTTGAGAATACCTTAGCGTATTGGGTTAAAGATCGGGTTGAAACGACCGTCCAATTTTAAAAAAATGGTAATGTCCAAAGTAATTCTAAATAGATTCTAAACGTTCGTCTTTAAAATCAGAATCTCAATACAAAATACTCACGTTAAAATAAAAAAAAACAGATGCTCGTCTAAAGAAATAGTTGAAAAGGAAGGGCTTCAACGAAGCTAACACGAACCTTCCCCCCTCAATTTGTCGAGTATGATATGTTTTCTTTAAACGATAAACTCGATGATATTCCGAATAGATAAAGGTTGAGTGGATATATGCTCGACTTTGTTATGTTTTCCTTTTCTTTTTTGTTATCTCAAAAGCTATTCACTTTAGAACTAAATTTTGGAACTAAATATTTTCCACGAGGAGAGGGAGATTAGTACAATTCTGAATCAAAAGGTATGCCTAATTAAGGTGTAGTTGCATGTGCGTAGCCAAAAGGTGGCCACACACCGGATAATTCTACTATTCAATCTTATATGTGCATATATAGTCACCGTCTGTCTTACGAAAATAGATTGTGCATATGCATTTACAGTGTTGTAGGGCACATAGAGTCGGAATTTCGGGTATAGAACGTTACCGATGGTATAAAAGTAGTACTTTGCTTTATACGATTAGTTTTATGGTGACCCAGGAGAGGAACAAGTGAGTATGTGACTTCTAAGCAGAGGATCACGCCCAAGTAAAAAGGGTATCATGAATGAACCGAGACTACATTCGAATGAAAATGATTATAGAGATAAAAATTTCAAAGTTAGTGTGTTTTGCTCGGAGCAATTTTATGTTGGGTAATTTTTTTTTTTTTTTTAGTTTAATGGTCGAACAACCCAACCCTTGGAACATACTACAACTCCAGGTGGCGAAGAGCCGATATCGAGGTGCCAAATCTTCACGTCGATGTGAGCTATTGGGAAAGATCATCTTGTTAGCTATATATTAACTTTTATCCGTTGAGTGACGACCCTTCCACTCAGCATGTTAGATCACCAAGGCTGACTTTTGTTCATGCTCGACGGAAGTATATGAGTGAGAACAAAACATGCTAAAATGACTTATGTTTGCAGGAATAGTAATAATATTCACTCTTAGAAACGACAAGCAAGTAATGTGGTCATGTCGGGATGTAAGGGAGTGTCGGGACTACCAGGTATTGAATCCCAATTCCAAATCTTGATATGAATCTCGGACATGAACATTATATCGAAGATATGCAATTAATTACTCTAGTACAACAAAACATGCTGAAATAACTCGTGTCAGGCTTCGTACTAAAATTTCAACCGTTCTAATTGATATAAGACTAGGTTTTCGTTTTGATGTATCCGAGATTTGTTTCCTCGAGCCTCTAAAACCTAAGTAACTCAAAATTTTATTAGTCGATAGAACGTTTTTAATAATAATGCATGCACTTTCTTGGAAGGTAGGCACAGAGAATAGTATGATCCCGAACCAACCCACCCACTCCTACTAAAGAATTAAGGAAGCAGATAAATACATTTTATTATATGGTTGGGTATGCCCTTTTCTAATTAATAATTTATTGTCCCACAGGATATCACAATCGGCCCCTCCTTTATTTTTCTCATTATATTTTAAAACTAAATAGATCACTGTCGTATCATATCAATTTTGTGTTCAATAATTCAAAAAATTTTATTCTTGAAAATAAGTTGTCTCGTTCTTATTGTGCTTATTAGTTTGTTTGGAAACGAATTTTTATTCGTTAGAAGTTTAGATGAAAAACTTCCGGGACCTAAAATGAGTGGGGCGATGATTTAGAATGATGTGGCAACGTTTGAGTCTCGATTTTTATTTTAGGTCACTACCACAATGTTCGGGGGTTTTACTTTTATTATTCAATTTGAGTTCGGTAGAATTTTTAAGAAATCGAAACTTTGAATTAGTTCACGGGTTTGACATTTTTTTGGTCAGGTCAACTCAACCAACCCAAAAATAGGGTTATAACCCAACCTAACGCTGATAATAAGTTGTTTCTAGCTCATTACCACAACAATCGAGATTTCAATTTTCACCATATTAATGGATTAGAAAATTATAAGCACTTAAGGGTAATATTAAAGGTGTACGTATGACCCGTAACTCGACCAACCCAAACTACCTTTATGGTCTCAGTTGAGTTAGTTTTTTTTCAATTTGAGTTGGGTATAATTTTTGAAAAATCGAAACTTTGGATTGGTTCACAAGTTGACATTGACCCGACCAACTCGAAAATAGGGTTATAACCTAACCCAACATTACCTTACTTTTATTTAAAGACTATAATGAAGACTAAGAATATTTAATATCTGAGCTTTTACGAGATTTTAGTTATTAATATAACATTAAAAAAATAACCCGACAACTCAATCCAACTCAACTAGAAAATAGGAAATTGTGAACTTGATTTTCGAGTTGGATTAGATTGTGAAATCTATTGGAGTTGCAGGAGTCACCAATTTAATCAATTCGAAATTTTGGTTCAACCCGTGTACACCGATATTGTAAATTTTAAAAGAATAAGTAGTCGGGTTCTAATTTGTTTTTTATTGTTTGCAATTTAGTCCCCCAAGAGTTTGTTTTTGCAATTTAGTCCCACTAAAAGATGAAGTAAGAAGGATGAGAATAATGGGTTTGGTGTGTGGTGGAATATAAAATGGGCGCCGTTGCTATGCCATTGGACCCGCGGAAATCTCTCTCTCCTTTCCTTTCTTCTTCCTTTATCTTCTCTGCTTCATCCTTTCTTCTTCTTCTTCTTCCTGAACGGCCATTGAAGGCCTCACATTCAATGCTCTCTCAGTCACACAAACCTCCATTTATTGCACCGATTTCGGTTTCCGTTTCCGTTTCCACCATGGCACTCGGTTTTTGCTCCGCCGCTTGATTCTTTCTTCCTCCACCGTTTCCAATTTGTCTATAACCACTTCTGCCCTAGGTTGGATTTCTTCGTTCTCATTTGTTTTTGTTTGATGTAATGTAATTTCCTTGTAATTCCTCGTTTGAATCTCTTCTTGTTTCTGTTCCTGTTCCTGTTCATTAGCGGGGAGGATTGCGTTGAATCAAGTGATGTCTGTGGTATTAGCAAGAACAGGGCGACATCGTCAGCGATACGACGATCATTTTCGTCTCGTTTCAGGGTATTTCTCTTCTTCTCTTTTGTTATTTGCTATTTCGTCGCGTTCTTCTTTGTCTTGTTCCCTTTTGTTTCTACATGACTCATAGCATATAATTCCTTTTCTCCCATCTTTAATGATTATGAATAGTCTCATTTTGCTTATAAATTCCTCGGTTTAGAAACGACTATTTGATTTGGTTTTTGCTCAAATTACTGCGCTACTGATTTGCTTTTCGCTCATCTCAATCTTCAATTATTGTTTCTTTCTGGTACAGAGATCAATATATATATATTATAGTTATTTTATTATATATCTCCATAGTGGGTCTTTTTATTGACTTCGGTTACATGAACAACAAAAGGGGTTTCGCTATCTATTTTGTCTCTTTTGTGGAAATTGTTAACCACTGCACTCATCTGACATATCAGAGTTATCAACACCACTCTAACCTTTCGTTTGTGGTTGAGGATGAATTGTAGTGGGCGTTTCAGATATATAATAAAAAAGGAACTATGTTGTTATCAGTGTGGAGTTTTGCCGGAACAAATTATGCTCCAAAAGTCCATGAGGGTGATTATGATATTGGAAAACATTTGGGTATCTTTCATTTTAATGGTTTATGAACTTTTTTACGTTCTAAAGATCTTGGTATGCCTGCATCGGAATTGAATTACGAAGTTTGGAAATGAGAAATTTATGAATTAGATCATTGGGGATGAGAGATGTATGTGTTTGAAGAAATTTTAGTAAGATTCTGATATTATTTTGCTGTGGATGTAAGAAAAGATTACTCCAAAATTTTTCTTTTTTGTATATTAGAGTTATATGATGAGAAGATAATTGGATGAGTAGTAGTGGAAGAGAAAGGAACACTTTCTAGATTGAAGAACAGGGGAATCAATTGTTGAATGATGTGAATGATGTGAATTCGGCGATATCTCCTTTTAGTATTGGATGCAGTTTCATTTAGCATAATTTTGTGGATGGTATTGTAACTTACATGATTTTAACAATCGATACTTATTTGTTGCTTAATTGTTGGCACTTGCACAACAGATGCATTCCTTATAGACTGATAGAGGACAGTGATGAAGTTAATGAACAGTGCAACATCGAGAACAAGATTGAAGTTCTCATGGTTTCTTCCCCGAATCGTGATGACCTTGTGTTTCCGAAGGTTTATAATTTTGCACATTCTTGGTTGAAGGTGTTGGCATGAAATACCACTGTCCTAGATTTCAATGTTTCTCTTTGTTCTTCTTTGTAGGGGGGATGGGAGGATGATGAGACCATCCTGGAAGCAGCTTGTCGTGAAGCCGTGGAAGAAGCCGGAGTGAGAGGAAAGCTTAATGTAAGTTTATATATAGCTTACTATTTGCATCAAGGATGTTGGTTGTAGAATCTTTGGATGCTCGTCAATGAGTTGCTGTAGGAAATGTTGGCATGTCATGGCCATTGGAGAAAGTCTAGGAATAGTTTATGTAACCGCTCAAGCCCATCACTAGCAGATATTGTCTATTTTGACCCGTTACATATCGTCGTGAGCCTCACAGTTTTAAAACACGTATGCTAGGGAGAGGTTTCCACACCCATATGAGAAAGACTTCGTATCCCTCTCCTACTGATGTGAGATCTCATAATCCACCCCTTTGGAGGCCCGCGTCCTCGCTAGCACACTGTTCGATGTCTGACTTTGATATCATTTGTAATAACCCAAGTCTACTCCTAGCAGATATTGCCTGTTTTGGCCCGTTATGTATCGCCGTCAGCCCCACGGTTTTAAAACACATATGCTAGTGAGAGGTTTCCATACCCTTATAAGAAATGCTTCGCCTCTCCAACTGATGTGGGATCTCACATAAATAACTAGACATCCTAAAAAACTTATACTTAACTGATCTGCAGAACGGATGCTATTAGCGTGTTATTGACTGACTTATTAGTAGCATACTTCATGCTTATTGTAACTTGATCTACCACTGCAAAGACAGTACTCTTCCTCCCACTTGGAAGATAAACTTGCGTTGTTTCATTCTTCAGGAGAATCCTCTCGGAGTTTGGGAGTTTAGAAGCAAAAGCAATCAGGACATATGCAGCATGGAGGGAGCATGCAGAGGATACATGTTCGCTTTAGAAGTTACCGAAGAGCTCGAGTCATGGCCAGAGCAAGGAAACCGCCATAGGATATGGGTCAGTAGATAAACTACACAAATGCAGCACTCCTTGACTAGACACTAGTTTTTAACTCGCATATGTTTGATTTGCAGCTCAATGTTAAAGAGGCATTCAGACTGTGCCGGTACGAATGGATGCGCATGGCACTCGAAGTGTTTCTCCGAGTACTGGCAGGGGACGAAAATGGCGAAACTAGGCAAGAGACAGCATCAACAGCAGCAGCAGCAGAGACAAGCCCAGTAACAGTTTCAAATGTGGTTGATTGTGCATTGATATCATCCAACTGCTGTGGAAGGCCGCCTCCTTTCAGTCAGCAGCACGGCAGTAGGAGTCATTCAGCAGGCATAGAGGGCATCTCAAGGGGCTGCAGATTAGGCATTACATTAACCGAATGATGAAAAGATGTGCAGTGGATTGGTGTAATATGCAGCAGGAAGTGGTTCAACTTTGAGAAAGAACAAAGTATGAAGTGAAAGAGGAGGTAGGCTTCTTTCTTTTTTGCTTGTTTTTTTTGGGTTGTTTTTGTTGGATGCTGGATGTTTGTACGTAGAAGGAAGCAACTGTAGTGGTTGCTTTGTTGTTGTAGCTGTGTTAATAAGATAGTGAATTGATGCCTTACTGACTCATGCCGATGGCGTTTGGGCAGTGGTTGTAATGCTCTGCTGCTGCTGCTCTTAATGAACAACATGCTTTAACTGTTGTGTTTACTGTCCATTGCTTTAACAAATTTGGTTTAATTACTATTTAGTCCCTATACTTACAATAATCTCACAAGTTCTAAAGGGTTATTTGATCAAATTGAAAATTCAAGAGTACGATTGTAACGCACATCCTACCGTGTTGAGATTTTTTTTTTTTTTTTTGTAATTTTCTCTTCTATTCATTATTTCTTCTTTAAAACAATTATCATACACTTTCAAACTTTCCATTTTGTATCTAACAAGTTTATACGCTTTGTTATATAACAAAAACTAATAAATATAATTAGAGATGTCTATGGGGAGGGTGGGGTCGAGGAAGCCTTCCCGTGCCTATCCCCATCTCTTATTTCAATACCATTTTTTTAAAAATTTATTATTATTTTTTGTGGGTGTCAACATATTATATATATATATATATATATATATATATATATATATATATATATATATATATATATATATTTCCTTTTAAAGAAATTTTAATGGATCAACATAATTTTCTTCTCCCTTCCCTATTCCCCGTTTAAATAGGGATTCCCCGCTCTTTTCGAGACCTGTGAGTTAAACGAATATCTCTAGATACAACTTTAAAGTGAGCACAATCCAATAGCTCATGAAAATATTGGTTGATACATGAGTTCAGCCACCTTAATTTACTATATATTAGATCTTTGGAGTACATTGAGTGCCAGCTAGAGACCAGGTTTAAGATGCATACGATCGAACACCTCACTTCCTTTTCAATAGTCAATTGGTGAGCTAAATCCAAAAACCGACAAACATTTCAAAAAGCGAAGAATGGGCAGTAGGACCCACAAATCATATCCAGCCAATTTCAAGAATAATCTTATCAACGCCCACAAGAGTGACAAAGAGAAATAGTTTAGAATTTTGGTAAGAATATAGAATGCCAAAATATTCAAAGAATTATACGTAATATTTGTGTTATTAATGTTTTTATCACTTTTCAATATTATGTATTTTAAAATCATATTACAAAAACCATTCTATTAATTTAAAATTAATTAAGATATTTTATTTTTCTTAAATTGACTTTTAAAGTTTTTGAATTTTCACATTTATTTACATGAAAAGGGATTAAAATGGATCCATTGGAATTCTCCGAGCTAGAGACGAGCTTGAGACATGTTGAAGATGTATTGAGCCATGTGTATGGTCGACTAGGTCAAGGAGCTAAGTAAGCTTAGGGTTTGGTTAGTTTTAGGCTCGTTAGGAGTCTACGTGTAGCAGTCCCAAGTCCACCACTAACATATATCGTCTTCTTTGGACTTTTTCTCAGATTTTTAAAACACTCATTTTAAAGAATTTTTTACACTCTTATAAAAAATGTTTTTATTTTAATTAATAGATAATTAAAAAGTCGGCCAACGATGCAGCCAGGACACTGGGTTGGACACAGTGTACAGTAGCCAAACGCCAACCCAACCGCCTTCGATTGGCTAAACCCTTCCACCCATTATTTTTATATTTCTTCATTTAAATAATAATAATAATAATAATAATAATAATAATTATTATTATTATTATTATTTAATTTAAGCTGAGCTTACAGAATTTCGCGTCTGGTTTCCTTCTCCGCCATCCCGACTCTCTCTCAAGCTTGGAGTTCCAATTCTCCCACCCAGGCGGCTTCCGCCTTTCAATGGAGCAAGGATCTGGATTCTCCACTTCTTCCATCCATTCTCAGGTTTTCTTCATTCCTTTTCCTTCTTCTCTTCTCCTTTCTTCGATGTTCTGCTTGTTTTCTGTAAATTTTCCACCATGATTCTGCTTCAGTTTCTTGTTCTTGTTTTGGTTCTGTATTTGTCGTACCTAATTTCTTATCGCCTTAGTCTTGTTTTCTTTCTTACCAATCCTAATTACTTTTGTCTCGAAATTATTCTTGCCATCTTTATCTGTTTTATGATTGCCTCCGATTTTGTCGCGAATGTGCGTTTTTCAAATTCGTGAATTTGGTTTGTAGGTTGCTGATTCTCTATTTTGAATTAGATAGGAATTCTTAGGCGATTCGTTTCATACATTTTATTGCCATTGTTTCGGTAATTGTTAGATATGTAGATTTACGGCTTCGTTGTTAATCCTTTCATGTATTTGTTCTTGGTTAAGTTGTTCGCGGGTTTTCTTTTCTCAGTCTCTAGATTCTTTTGGTGGTTCTTCTTGGCTCCTTCCTGTCATCAGCATTTTTGTTTTGTTTCGTTCATTACAATTACTCGAATTCTTTTACTGATTCTTATCCCTGCCATCATTGTCGTCGTCATCATTGTTTTTAGTGTCTTTCTGATAACGCGCTTAGGTCTTCCTTTTATTTAGTTTTGTTTAGATGATTATAGTATTCTTAAGGCTGGAGTTTAGCTTAGCTTGCTTGTATATTAGAATTTTGTTTGGAGTCTGAGCGCATAATTTAGTCGTTGCACGTTGATTATAAGTGTGAACTCAGAATTGACGTCCTGCTTTTCTCAACTTAGATAGTTAGAGTAGGGAACAGGTTGAAAGTGTCAAATTCCTTCTTCCAATCTTGTGACCGAGCAGTATCAACTTTATGATGCATTGGTAAAGATTTCACCATCCTAATTGTGTACTCTTTTGGTTTAGTCTCGTCCGACTCACAAGGCGTGTTTTCCTCGTCACAAACCGTGGCATGTTGTGGTGGAAGTGGACCTAACTCATAGATACAACATATCTGTTAAATGAACTGTTTCTTATAAATAGAATTTACTCCCAAAACATCGAGTTAACTTTATCTTGTGAAAGGCCGAACCTGGCCAAAGGTGCTTTTTCCAGCACATCTTTGTTGTTCTTTCACTGGATATCAATCCTTTTGCTAGCGATAGTACAATGGGAACTCTTTTGGATCTTTGGTTTTTCCGTAAAGTTGATTAAATTTCCAGTTTTAACTTAAGCTTGTCTTGCTTTTGCAGTTTTCGCGGGCATACCTTACAAGGAATCTAATACTTGCATACCAAAGTTTTGGAGTAGTGTATGGAGATTTGAGCACTTCACCCCTCTACGTTTACTCAAGTATATTTGATGAGAAGTTGCGAAAATATCGAACTGAGGAAGTTGTATTTGGTGCATTCTCCTTGATCTTCTGGACCTATACGCTGATACCATTATTGAAATATGTCTTCATTGTATTGAGCGCAGATGACAATGGCGAAGGTATGGGTTGGATTGCGGAACTTAGCTCATTCACTTATGTGGAATGTATTTAATTAAACATTTAAGGTTCTTTTTTGCTCCATCTGTTCTCTGGTTTCAGGAGGAATCTTTGCTCTTTACTCCCTGCTCTGCCGACATGCTAAGTTGAGCTTACTTCCTAACCAACAAGCAGCTGATGAGGAGCTCTCAGCTTACAAATATGGCCCATCTTCTCATGTAGTAGCCCCTTCTCAACTAAAAAGGTTTTTGGAAAGGCATAAAACACTTAGGACGATTTTACTTCTTGTCGTATTATTTGGTGCTTGCATGGTCATTGGTGATGGAGTGCTGACTCCTGCAATTTCAGGTTTGGTATTTACTATTTGTCATAAGCGTAAGATTCATAAGGACCCCATAGGTGTTTGATTTTCTTTTCCTTATATTTAAGGATCCTGAATACCTAGACGTGTCTTCAAGTGTTCTGGCAGTTTACTGATATCAATAGATTGTATCATGCATGTTCTTTAAATACACATGTTACTCCAACTTCTTTTAGAGCGTGAGCTACTTTTATTTTGTCTACATTAACAATTGATTTCACCTCTGACTTAACATCTGAACGGGTAAGGTATAAGAAGCCTGGACGTATATAACTCATTAATAATAATAAAAAGAAGACAACCTCAGGGCTGGGGAAGAGAGATCCCCTCCCGAAGAGGCTAATTACAAATGCTTTTTGAATTGTTAATGATCAACCATCTTAAGATAATTACAAAAGAAGTCGCTGTTGCTATGACACCAGGAGGCAGTGAACTGTACACTGCAAAAAAACTTAAAAAGTAGAGAACTTATCTTCAACCATTCTCTGATTTCTTTCTAACCAGCAGCCCCACACCAACGCCCTAAAAGAAAAACCCTGAATGTAAGCTACGTTAAAAACACAAAATATGTTCTTTTGACTAACATCTGATAATAGATCATTATTAAGTAATAATTATCAGTCGTATAACAACTGCTGACTTTCCCAGCCTATCCTTTCCCATGAAGCAAAGATAAAAGATTCAATAGTGAAAAACTATAACAGCCCAAATCCACCGCTAGCAGATATTGTCCTCTTTGGGCTTTCCCTTTTGGGTTTCCCCGCAAGGTTTTTAAAACGCGTCTACTAGGGAGAGGTTTCCACACCCTTATAAAGAATGCTTCGTTCTCTTTCCCAACCGATGTGGGATCTCACAATTCACCCCCCCTTCGGGGCCCAGTGTCTTCGCTGACACTCATTCCCTTCTCCAATTGATGTGGAACCCCCCAATCCACCCCTTTCAGGGCCCAGTGTCCTTGCTAGCACACCGCCTCGTGTCCACACCCTTCGGGTCTCAGCCTCCCTCGCTGGCACATTTCTCGGTGTCTGGCTCTGATACCATTTATAACAGCCCAAGTCCACCGCTAGCAGATATTATCCTCTTTAGGCTTTCCCTTTCAGGCTTCCTCTCAAGGTTTTTAAAACGCGTCTGTTAGGGAGATGTTTCCACACCCTTATAAAGAATGCTTCGTTCTCCTACCCAACCGATGTGGGATCTTACAATGTTCTTTAAAATTGATGTAAAGGAATTTCATGATGGTGGGTATGAATTTATGGTTAGAGATAGGTATATCACTGTGCTAAAATTATTACCACCCTCCTTATGTCCTTGTTCAATTGTAGTAAACAAGCTATCAAATTGAAAAGAGAATAAAATCTTCCAGTGGAAGCTATCTTTACATGCCATTTATTTTTATACTTTTACTACTTTCTTGGACCAAAGGATCCTCCTTGTGTCCCACACGAACAATATTCAATTATACATTCTTCACTATGATACTGGTGCCACCATTATGAATTCTGGAATGCTTACAATTTTGGTTTTCATGATCCTAAAACTGTTTTGGCTCATGTATGTTATGTCCTTTGTCTTGCAGTTCTATCCGCAATTTCAGGCTTACAATTTACTGAAGCAAAATTGACCAATGGTAATCTATTATCTTTGCATAGATGATGACTAACTGTGATGCTTAAGAGTAAGTCGTTGATTATAATATACTGTTCTGATTCTCATTTAAGATGATCTATACTGTAGGGGAGCTCCTTTTGATAGCTTGTGCCATATTGGTTGGTCTGTTTGCTCTGCAGCATTGTGGCACCCATAAGGTTGCATTTATATTTGCTCCGATAGTTATCATCTGGTTGTTGTCAATTTTCTCCGTTGGTCTGTACAATGTAATTCATTGGAACCCAAGAATTATATGTGCAATTTCCCCGCATTATATTATCAAGTTCTTAAGAGTTACTGGTAAAGATGGTTGGCTTTCTCTCGGAGGGGTTCTTCTGGCCATAGCTGGTATGTGGAATTTGGAATTGTTATATGCATTTTGTTCTGTTTTCCCTAGCCTTATGGACCTTGTCCTTGTCAGTTAGTAGAAGTTAGAGAATTGAGTGCTATAGGAGCCTTATAAGGTTGTGATTTGTTTTACGTAAGAACATAATATTAAGTATTATCCTTCTTTCAAGGTGGTTAATGGGAATTTATGTGGTTTCTTTAGGCACTGAGGCGATGTTTGCAGATCTTGGTCATTTCACTGCTTTGTCGATAAGGGTGAGCCTTCTGACCATCTGAGTATTTTGCAGCAGAATAGACAGACATAAGAGTGGGGCAACCAAATTCCATTATGAGCGGGAGAGGAACTTATATATTCCATATTCACCTTTTCGATTCCACTCATTGAATAAAAAATATGGTAGAGATAATTGAATCATCCATGATATTGAAGAGGCTCTTTGCAGGATTTTTGGAATACTATAGTGACAATTACTTGATCTTGTCTCAGTGGATTAAGCCATTGACTAATGCTCTCATTTAGCAACAACTAATGAATGTTTCAAGCAACTAATAAGGAGTCTTTGCTCTTGCAGCTTGCATTTGCATTTGTTATCTACCCTTGTTTGGTAGTACAATACATGGGTCAAGCTGCATTTCTTTCTAAGAACCTTGATTTGTTTCCAAACAGTTTTTATGACTCGATACCTGGTTAGTTAACCAATCTTGCTTTCTCAACAGTGCTTTGGATTTCAAGTAGTCTGATCTTAATTATTCTCATTGCCATTATTCCCTCTTGCAGAACCTGTATTTTGGCCTGTTTTTGTTATTGCCACCCTTGCGGCTATTGTGGGGAGCCAGGCTGTCATTACTGCTACTTTCTCTATTGTCAAACAATGCCATGCCCTTGGTTGCTTCCCAAGAGTGAAAGTTGTCCACACCTCTAAACACATATATGGGCAGGTCTACATCCCAGAAATAAACTGGATATTAATGGTCCTCACTCTTTCTGTTACAATAGGGTTTCAAGATACGAGACTGATTGGAAATGCTTATGGTAAGTGCTTCGACTCTCTCTCATGCACATAGCACACTTTCATCTGCATGCGTGCACATACACTGAAGCACATTAGTTTTTGGTGGAGGTTCAATAACAATTTTGGGTCACGTAACAGTAACACAGTGCATATAAGTAGTTATAATTACCAAGTGCCTCCAAAGAAAGTTATAGGATCATTTGTTGAGTCTGTTAAGGATTGCTATTGAGAGTAGTATTATTAAGCACAACACTTTTGATATGTAACCAAACATCATGTAGTTCTGTAAAATGTTTTATTTGGTTAAAAACACTTTTGAGGTATTGAAAGTCTATTTCTAACACATTACTAGTCTCTAAATTGCACATTTATTTGCCACCTGAGATGAGTTTTTTGCATTCTCTTGACCTTGTACTCCACTTGTAGATTGAAAATAATAGGATCACTTATAAACTGTGTTAAGAACTGCTTTTAAGTACACTTTTCGAAATGTGTAGCCAACGCCATGTAAATTCTGTAAAAAAATGTAATTAATTGAAAACACTTCTGGGGTATTAAAAATCTGTTCCTAACACATTACAAGTCTCTAAATTGCACATTCTTTGCCACTGCGATGAGTTTTTTAAACTACAAGAAGGTCATTTCATTCTTGTAAACCTTGTACTCCTTTGCTATGTTTTTGTACTCTAAATGCTTACACTTCTTGTGGATTGGTCTTGTTCTAGCCACTCTAGTCGTATCCAATTGAAGTGTTCAGTGATAATGTTTTCAAAATTCATTAAACGAATCCAGCATTCAACCTCCATTGGGCATGGCTCTTAATATGCACTTCACTAAGATCTCTTGCATTGAAAAGTGAGAGAATTCTGAACTTGAAAGTGATAATGGAAATGAGAATTCATATAGAGCTGCACCCACTGTACTTACTAACTTCTCATCCATCTCTCCCTTCATATATTCCCTGGATATTGGCAAACCAGTAGCTGGCTGCCATCTTTCTTGAACTAACTTGTAATCTTAAGTCGATAAACAGTTCATGTAGCTCAAGTCTTCATCCATCGGACTCAGATTCTCAACAAACTCGGTCATTTCCTGCATGTGTAGATGTGTTTAATTTCTTTTCCACTGCCTATCATCTTCTTTCATAGGTTAAATGAAACGTGGGTTTATCATCTACTGCATTATTCTCTTCACCACTTTGCAATATAGATTGTAGGAACTTCACTCTTCATCTTTGTCTTTGCTCTCCTTCGGTGCAAACAAAGTCCTCATTCTCTTTCGAATAAGGGACTTCGAAAGTTGTTTTTATTATAACATTTGATGGAGAGGGTGACGAACTATGAGTTCTCAAGAGTGCTTATAGAACTTATGGAGTGGAGGAAAAATAAAAGTTTTTAACCATAAACTTGTTTTGTCCGTTTTATCAGGGGGATGCAATTAGTTACTATAAACTTGCGTTTCTGAAACAATGTCAAGTCTGATTCAAATTGAGCTCTTTTAGTTGTCTCTAAAAACTTACCTTGGTTTCTTTTATGCATGAGAGGTATTTTAGTTTCTTCCTGCTTGCAATGTCTACGCCTTTCCTGTATATAACTTTGTTTTTTGTTCATGGTCTAGGACTTGCCTGTATGGCAGTTATGTTCACGACTACATTTCTTATGGCACTTGTCATTGTATTCGTTTGGCAAAAAAGTATCCTCCTGGCCGCACCTTTTCTCATCTTCTTCTGGTCTGTTGAGGCAGTCTACTTATCTGCAGCAATCATAAAAGTCCCTGAAGGAGGGTGGGTCCCGCTTGTGCTGTCAGCCATTTTTATGATTGTTATGTTTGTCTGGCATTATGGCACTCGTAAGAAGTACTACTTTGATCTACACAATAAAGTTTCACTGAAGTGGTTGCTTGGACTAGGCCCTAGCCTGGGTATAGTTCGTGTCCCTGGGATTGGTCTCATATACTCAGAATTGGCAACAGGAGTTCCCGCAATATTTTCTCACTTTGTGACAAATCTCCCTGCTTTTCACAAAGTTCTAGTCTTTGTTTGTGTAAAGTCTGTTCCAGTTCCATATGTCTCGCCCGAAGAACGTTTTCTCATTGGGAGAGTCTGTCCTCGACCATATCGCATGTACCGGTGCATAGTGAGGTATGGCTACAAGGACATTCAGAAGGATGATGGAAACTTTGAGAACCAACTGATGCTAAACATTGCGGAATTTATTCAAATGGAGGCAGAGGAACCACAATTCTCAAGCTCTGAAAGTAGTACAGTTGATGGGAGGATGGCAGTAATAAGCACTCGGAGTGTACAATCAAGCTTGAGCTTAATAGTATCGGGGCATGAAGAAGTTGGTACGAGCAACTCCATCTATAGTAGCAAATCTGCCACACTCCAAAGCTTACGATCTGTCTATGAGGATGAGAATCCAATACTAAGAAGGCGCCATGTGAGGTTTCAGTTATCTCCCAGCCCTTCAATGGACCCCAGAGTTAGAGAAGAGTTGATGGACTTGATCCAAGCCAAAGACGCCGGTGTAGCATATATAATGGGACACTCATATGTGAAGGCCAGAAGATCTTCATCTTATTTGAAAAAGCTCGTGATAGATATCGGATACTCGTTCCTTCGAAAGAACTGCCGAGGACCGTCTGTTGCGCTCAATATCCCCCACATCAGTCTAATTGAAGTGGGGATGATATATTATGTTTAGTACTCTGAAGAACAATGTATTCTGATTGTCTCGAGTAGACGTCGTTGGTTAGACTCCCCGGTGATGGCATCTGCAGGCTCGCTCTTGGCAGAGGGTGAGGGAAGACCCAACAGCATGATTCAGATCTGTGGTAGCATCTGAGATTGGCTGTAGATTGGACTCAATATTAGATTTATGTGATAAGTTGATTAGGCTTTGGACATCCCTTTTCCAATTGAAAGGAGTGGATATGATGTTATAGGGAAGGAGGGATCTTTCACTGAGACATTATGAGTTGTATTACAAATAGGAAAAGGCTTAAACCCAACATCTGGGTGGGTGCTCTCACTTGCAAACAGGAAAGGTTTGGATTTGCACACCCTTTTTTACATCATCTTTAATCGATTTGTAGGAGAAAATATAAACCAAAACCATTCACAGTTGAATAAACGTTTCAGCAATGCCTTTATTTACTTTAGAAAGTGTTTTGTTGGCTGTAAAACTACTTTCATGTTCTCACTAATACTTTTAGAACTCGTGAGATTTCTTGTCGGTTGGAAAGAGAAATGAAGAATTTTTTTTATAATGGTGTAAAAACTTCTTCCTAATAGATACATTTTAAAATTGTGAGGCTGACGATAATACGTAACGGATCAAAACAGACAACATAGGCTAATGGTGGGTTTGAAGTTGTTACAAATGGTATCAGAACTAGACACCGAGAGGTGTGCCAGCAGGACACTAGGTCTGAAGGGGATGGATTTGTGAGATCCTACATCTCGGTGTGCCAGCAGGACACTAGGTCTGAAGGGACGGATTTGTGAGATCCCACATCGGTGGAGAGGAGAACGAAACATTCTTTATAAGTATGAAACTTTCTCTCTAACATACACATTTTAAAATGAGGCTAACAGTGATATGTAACCAGTCAAAATGGACCACACTTTATATAGCTCAACAAAAGAAAACACTAAAACTTCACTCATTATAATCTTATCTAAAGTTTACCTTTCGATTAGATTCTTAACACGTTTATTTATGGTTATATGTTTATAAGCTTTTAATAGTTCTCAATAAATAATTATGGAAATTATAGGCTAGACTAATATCAAGTGTATTTAGGCGTGTGGTGCTAAGTAGTAGTTTCAGGAAGGTTTGTCTGATCTATATGTTTCAAAATGTGTTCTTTTAAATTCGCAAACATAGATTAAAAATTTATCGAACATAAAATAAAAACTTTAGAAATTTATTATACACTTTTTAAAAACTTTATTGACCAAATAAACACAAATTCAAGGTTAAATTTTGGAATGGTAAAGTTAGAAGGTTTGAAAAGGGGAAGATTTAAAAATTCAAATGTTGTAGAAGATAACAGCCAATTGGTAGCTTCACCAATATAATCTAACACCCATTTTGTACCAACTACGAGTCGGCATCGGCAGCAATCTCAGAAGTCAAAGACAATCCCTCATGATTCAGAAGCCACCGGTGGATCACCCACCCCCATCTCTCCGCCTCATGCCTTTCTTCAACTTCCTGATTTATATATATATCTTACAGCCCCTGCAGGTCTGAATTCATTGTCACAGAGCTTAGTTCAAATTAGTTAAGAGAAGAAATCAATGGAAATGAAGCCTTGGACAGGAACCTTGACGGCAATGCTACTCGTACTGGCTTCCGCCATGGCGTTTCAAGCCCGTGCTCAAGACACTTCCTGCATGAATAGGTTAATTCCATGCCTAAATTACCTGAACGGTACTCGAGATCCGCCGCCGAGCTGCTGCAATCCTCTGAAATCGGTGATCGATTCCAATCCCGATTGCCTCTGCGCTTTAATTAGCAGAGACGGAAGCGATCGAGCAGAGCAAGCCGGCATCGATGTCAGCCAGGCTCAACTCTTGCCCGGCCGATGCGGCGAACATGTTAATCCGCTCTCTTGCCTCGCCGCCGCCAATAACGCCCGTAATTTCCTCTTCTTTCTTGCTTCAGATCCGGCGTTCCTCTGTTTCAATTTTTTTTTTCTTGAATTCAAATCTGATTTGATTCATGATTTGAAATTGCAGGCTCGCTCTCCATCTCTTCCGCTCTGCAACTGATTTCGCTTACGAGTACCGCGTCGCTTCTCATGTCTGGAGTTCTTCACTTTTACGGTTTTTGTATCCATTAATGCCGCTCTCTCCATTTTAGAGGCTTATATAATGTGAACTTTATTCATAATAATTATTCTTTTTTGAATGGACTAAAATAGCCTATGGACAACGGGTGAATATTCCTATACTACTCTTTGTTGGTCTGGAGGGACGGAAGAGGCTAGGTTAGTCGAAAGATGGTTATCGATTGAAGGACGCAACGTGCCCCTATTTTTGCAAGGTAAAAAGGGTAGAGAATTAGACAACTGTGGACTACACGAGCTGTGTTAATGGTCCAAACAACTGAACATAGTTCACAACCAAACCAACTTAATCGTGATTTGAATTGGATTGAGTTGTCGGATTATTCATAATAGCATTCATAACTAATATTTAAATATTTACCCGTCATAATATATTATTGAAATTATAAATATTAAATATTAATATTAAAAAAAAATAAGGTAGGGTTGGGTTGAATTGAAGTACTATTTCTTGGATTGATTTGACCGAAAAATGACAAATCGAACTAAATTTTCGATTTTTCAAAAATTTAAACAAACTCAAATTGAAAAAAATATAACCCAACACAATCGTTTTGAATGCGAACGAACCAGATAGAAATTAAATTTAAAAATTCAAAATAAGTATACTAAAAATTTAACAAAAAAAAAAAAAAACATAAAAATGATTTTCTCATATACATTTAATAAATTATAAATTTTTTTTTTTTTTTTTGGAGATTTTTTTTTGTGAACTTTAGTGATTATTATTATTATTATTTTGTCAACTTTAATTTTATGTAAATTTTTATTTATTTAAATTAATGAGTTTATAAATATTTATTATTATTATTATTTAAAAAAAAATCATTGGATAAATTAACGAAAATTAAATCAGAAGTCAAAATTGCAATTAGGTATTGGTCTAATTGGACAAAATAAAAAATTTAAGGACAAAATTGATATTACCACTAGGGTAAATTCAAAAAATTTAAGGACTGAAAAACTCTCTCTCTCTCTCTCCCTTGTCTCTCTCTCCCCGCCTCGCTTACCACCATTTCTGCGTCTTCCTCGAACCGTTACTGCAGATTCCGCCTCTGTCCTCACGGCGGCGACGCTTGAAACAACCCACCGCCGATCATTCTCCACCATGTTTGTAAGCTTTCGGATCTGAATCGGACTCTAAATCTGAAACTGCCTTGTCTTTCTGCATTCTGAGAGAGAGAGAGAGAGAGACAACAATGGCTGCCATGATCTTCCATGTTTTCTCGTCGTCGGCGCTGCTCTCGCTTGGCCTCTACCACATCGTCTCCGTTACCCTCAATTTCCTCAAATCCCCGCAGTCCTACGCCGCCAGGCCCTACCATCCCTTCCCGCCTTCCTCCACGCATCAGCTTCTTCTCCCCCATCACCAGCAACACCATCTCTACGGTCTCCGCTACCTGCAACTCTATCTCGCAATCCCATGCCTCGTTCTTGCCTTCGTTCATCAGGTTATTGTCGCCGCCGACCCTGATCCTCTCCTCAAGGGCAACACCCCCGTCCACCATTTCATTTCCCTTCAATTCGCCGCCGTCATCTTCCTCTTCCTCATCCTTACCCTCGCCCTTCTCCTCGCCGACTCCACCTCTCTTCTCCCTCTCCCTTCCGATCTCTTCTTTGCCCTAGCTTCCGCCCTATTCTTCTTGCAATTCTCCGTCTCTTACTCAGCTGCCTCTGTTCAGACCTCTGATCTTCAAGCCAAATGCGATTCCGTCTCCGGTAAAATCTCCGCTCTGGCCTCCTTCCTCTGCCTGGTCCTTGCTTGCTTGCCTAGGCTCTTCGTGGCCGATGTGGGTTTGGGGGTGACATTCTTACTCCGAGGCCTTTGGGTGCTTCAGACGGGGCTTTCGCTTTATGTCGAAGCCTTCATCCCTGAAGGATGTCACAGGTTGCTGGATGTGGTGAATGGCGTGGAGGGATCCACCAAGTGCGATTTGGAGGAATCCCGGCTCAGGGCCGTTGCCATTTTGGACCTGGCCTTTCTGATCCACGTTATGTTTGTTCTGCTTATTGTGATTGTCATTTATGCTGTCATTGCCAGGGCTGTTGGCGTGCGGCGAGGTGGGTCTTACGAAGCTTTACCGGCGGCTGCTGTTGGTGGGGAAAACAGTCATATACAGATGAAAGCATTGACGGGTACCCAGGCTTAATCTCTTTATTTGGTTTGGTTGCCTTTATCCCTTCGTCTTTGTTCTTCAACTCTTGTTTTGGTTATTGCAATCAAAGATTTTGTGCATTTTTTTTTCTTATTTGCCTCTCAGTTTCAATGGAGTTTTCTTTGTATATTCTCACCCCCTCCTCCCCTGCCGGAACGTTTTACGAGTTAGGTACTTTAGAGTAGCTAGGTGGGATATCTTGACCTGACTGGTTACAGTGCTGCAATTCCTCCTTGAAGTAATGTACCCAATATGCTGCTTCATACTTGATTGAATCTAAGTGCAATTTTTCATCCGCACTTTATTGCTGTCTGAACTGTATGCTTGCTGCTGGGATATCATTGTTTTGTTCTGAATTTGATGCCTCTTGGGATATCCCTTCACTTGAATGTGATACTAGAAACAGGGCATGTGCACTGGAAAAAGGGTGATATTTGAGAATTGAAAGATGATTTCCGAGTCCCAACAAGGATGCTGGGCCTCAAAGGGGGTGGATTGTGAGATCCCACGTCGGTTGGGGAGAAGAATGAAACATTCTTTATAAGGGTATGGAAACTGCTCGCTAGCAGACACGTTTTAAAAACTTTGAGAGGAAGCCCGAATGGGAAAGCTCAAAGAGGACAATATTTGCTAGCCGTAGGTTTGGGCTGTTACAAATAGTATCAGAGCTAGGTTTGAAGGCGATGTGGGGAGGACACCGGGCGGTGAGCCAGCGAGGATGCTGGGCCCCGAAGAGGGGTGGATTGGGGGGTCCTACATCGATTGGAGAATGGGACGAGTGCCAACGAGGACGTTGAGCCCGAAGGGAGGTGGATTGTGAGATCTTACATCGGTTGGAAAGGAGGACGAAACATTTTTTACAATAGTGTGGAAATCTCTCCCTTGCAAACACGTTTTAAAAACCTTGAGGGGATCTTCAAAATGAAAAGCGTAAAGAGGATAATATCTGCTCGTGGTGGGTTTGCAGACACCCGTGTTGGGTTTGCTCTCATGTTCTCTAGTTGAACAACATTGATTGACTACTTGAACTTTGTTATGTTTGGGTTCTCAGAATAATGAGGGAAGATGTTTGTTCTTTTTCGGTGCTTGATTCTCATGTCTTTACCTTGGAAGTCTGAGGATCAGTTGATGAATTTGTGCCCTTGGTGTACTCATCTTGAAACCCAAATTAGGTGGGGGTGGGGGGAGGCATTGCTTGAATAAAAGCAATTATTGTGTTGTGTTGTAACAACTATCAGGTTGGATCATCTTTTATTTTACTAGTTCATTCTCACGTAATGAAGTAATGAAATATTGTGTGAGATTCCAGTCTGTTGGAGAGGGGAACAAAACATTTCTTATAAGGTGGTGGAAACCTCTCCCTAGCATATGTGTTTTAAAATTGTAAGGCTGACGGCGATATGTAACAGGTCAAAATAGACAATATCTGCTAGCGGTGGGTTTAAGCTCTTACAAATGGTATAAGAGCCAAACACTAGGTTGTCTGTCAGCGAGGACGTTGAGCCCCCAAGGGGGGAGGGGGGAGGTGGATTGTGAGATCCTACCTAGGTTGGAGAGGGAAACGAAACATTTCTTATAAGGGTGTGAAAACCTCTCCCTAACAGATGCGTTTTAAAACTGTGAGATTAACACGGGCCCAAGCAAACAATATTTGCTAGTGGTAGGCTTAAGATGTTACAAATGGTATTAGAATAGACATCGGGCAGTGTGCCAGCAAGGACATTGAGCCTCCAAGGGAAATGGATCGTGAGATCCTACATCGGTTGGAGAGTGAAACGCAACATTCCTTATAAGGGTGTGGAAACGAAACCTCTCCCTAACATACAAGTTTTAAAATCGTGAGGCTAATGACAATACGCAATATCTACTAGCGGTAGACTTGTGCTAATACCTTTTCTATAAGAGGATGAAACCCAACACTTATTTTCGTGGTACTTGAAATGGTTAATCGTGGTACATGAAATGGTTAATGCAAGTGAGAAAATGTTATTGCTTTGGGTAGTGTTTTGTTCATAGATTGATGTCTAAGTTACAAGTTTTTCTACTACAAATCAAATTAAACCAACTCAATTCTGAAAAGTACTCGGTCAGACATTTTTGTATTGGAGTTAGATATACGAATTTTTATATTGTTAACCGAACAAAAATTTAAAGACCTTAGCGGTTAATTACTCAAAACAGAAAACAAAATGGATTTACATTGAAAGACCTCAGTAATTGATTAATTACTTGAAAATGTGATATCTTTTGACCAAAAATTATTTTTTTCACCTAAACATGATCATCTGTAGTTGGATCTGATCTGCACCTGTAATTTTTACTACAAATCATTGTCAGCAGCTACTCCTCAAAGTGACCATTAGTGGACGGTACTTGATATATGGCGTGTAACCCTTCCGATCAAAATCAATTTTGAAAGATTAAAAATATGCTTTTGAATAATTTCAAATTACTCTCGAACATGCTTTGAGTTTGGTTTCAACTTGGGTGAGACGTATAAACATTCGAATAACTTAATGATTTAAATTAAATGAGTAAAGAGATGGTTAGGATACAATGCTATACATAAAATTTTGTAACTCAAACATCTATTTGGCTCAATTCGATCAAAGTAATTAGATTCCTTACTTCATTCGATGACCTTCTCTTATGTCGTGGGAGTTATTGATACCCATTTAGAATATTTGCAGATAAAGTACAAGAATTCAAACGAAACTATTGGTTCCTATACTGCCGAGTTTCCTGATTCTTTTCTTTTAGTGCTTCGACCCAAAGCATTAGTTTCTAGTTAGTTAAGTGGATAAAACGTGTTTCCTAGTCCACCGGCAAGCTCCTTGGTCGAAGGGCCCCATTTCGTTCAGGAGCTCTTTAGGTTTTTCAAGGGTAGCATGTGGGAGGGAAAGGAGGTGCGCCACTTATCAGTTGAGTCCGGAGCTAACCCGACCCATCTTCACCGACAGATGACAGTTAAGTTCGGCGCGAGCGGCCATGGCTTTGTTCAGAAGCGTCATACACAGGATCATTCAGTATTGCTAATTGACCGCACAACTTCCCTTCTTCCCCTCTTTTTCACGTTTCTTCTTCCATTTTCATCACGCTTTCTTCCTCTCCGCTCCCCCACGACGGAGTTCGGCGGTTTCCTCTTCTCTGTGCACTCCGGATTCCCTTCGGAGAGAAGTACTCCGCCCAATTCCTCCATCCTTGACTTCCCACCTCTGGTATATTCTTTCTCAATGCCACATTTCCTCTCTTTGATTGGAACTTGATCTCAACTGCGCTCATCTCCACTGACGGATCCTCCCGCAGGTAAACCTTCGCCCCCAACTCTTAGTTCTTGCTTTTTCTTTAATCTCTGTTCATTTTGTTTTGGATCAGGTTTATTTATTGTTCTTGGCTCCAATTTTTTCTTTCCTTCTGTTTGACTATTTGGATTTAGATCCGTAGTTTTGGCTTGCGATCTTGATCGGAGATTGACGCTTCTCATCCGTCGTTTCCCGCTTCTATCATCTTCTATGTTGCCTGTTTCTTTTCCCCTCCCTTTGTCAACATTTCTATTCTGCTTCATTTACATGCGAACATCGCCTAAATTACTCTCTCTAGGTCTGTTTTTGTCATGTCGCAGGGAGTATTATGTTCCGAAACTATTCCGTTCCATTTGGGAATCGATGTTCTGCTTTTTACTTAAACGAGTATTAAATGATGTTCGGAATTGAGCCATCTGCTCGAAATTTTAGGTTCTTCTAGTTCATTAACACGTACTCGAGATTCACCTTTCGAGCTTGTTCTTTGTTGCTTCGGATTCACAACTTCTCGTGCTTAGTCTCCTGAGCAGTTGACAGTCTCACTTTTTGGTCATTTGATCATTTACTTCTGTGCTGCTTTCCAACGACAGGCTGGGACATTCAGCTGTGTGCTGATTCGCTTACACCTCTCTAACTTATGGGGGAGTGGGTTATTGGAGCTGTCATCAACCTCTTTGGCAGCATTGCCATCAACTTTGGAACGAACCTTCTTAAATTAGGCCATAACGAGGTTTGCAGAGATCTTTTCTTTCTCGTTTACTCTCGGTCTACACTGTCTAGCTCAGTACTCTTCACCTACTTGCTATTGTAGTTATTCTTTGTCGAAAGAATTTCTTATCATTTTTCTTGAGGATGCAATACAGGCATGTTATAAGAGCTTTAGTGGCAGGTGTAAATGTGTCATGCATCATAAAATGTATATGACTTCCTTCCTTTTAGAAAAAAATATTTCACTTTTCAAAGTTGTAAATTCGTTCCCCTAATTGTTTTGGTAAGTAATAGCCCATCAAACTTCTGAGTTGCATAACTAGTTGGACTCAATTATCTTCGTTCATCGATCACTTTTATCAAGTGTGTTCCAGATAATAGCCAAGTCTTTGTTTTGGCATTCGTTGTTTCATGCTGCAACGTTGTTATATGTACTGTGGTTATGAAGAAATTTACTCTTGCAGAGAGAGAAGCATTCTATGCTAGAAAATAATGGTTCTAATGGAAAGACTCCAATGAAGCCCATTATATACTTCCAGACTTGGAGAATTGGTAATTTTCTGGTGTTAAATTCCTTATAGGCATTTACTTGTTATACTTTTTTCTGGAAGAAGACTACATTTGAAACATAATGCCTTAATTATAACTTACAAGCTTTCATGCACAGGTCTTACATTTTTCATTATTGGAAATTGCCTTAATTTTATTTCCTTCGGATATGCTGCCCAGGTTGGTAGAAAGTTACTTTATCCCATTTCACCATATGAATATATTCCTATTATAAGAACACCCCTTCCCTGTGAATTTTTAGTCTTTGCAATGTTTACTAGATGTTCTGCTTATCCATTGATCGAGGATTGTTACATTTCCTGTTCTACTTTTTTCTAATTTTACTTTCCTTCCCCTTTCTTTCCCACCCCTACCCCGCAGTCTCTTCTTGCGGCACTTGGATCTGTTCAGTTTGTGGCCAATATTGCTTTTGCG